GCAGCATACACCAGAGCCCAAGGGCCAGCTAAGGTTCAATTCAGACACTTCTCACCATGAATTGCGGCCTTTCAGAGCAGGCTGCTTCCTTAACTATCTTTTTGCTTTGGTTCGTGTGGTTTTTGGGGTGGGTGTAAGGTTCCCTCCCTAGGTCTGGGGGCTGTGTGGTTACAAAATGTGTCTCACAGGCCCCGTCCCCTGCACACCTAAGGAAGCAGCTCCCCGGCTGGTTTTGTTTCAGCTGCTCGGAGGCTGAGGGAACGCCAGCGAAACAGGGCAGAGCTCAAGAGAGAATAAATTTCTCTAGAGGAGAGAGGGAACCGCAGACGCCTGCCCTTCTATTCCTGTTTACCTTTGCTTTCAGGAGGTCAATTGAATTGTGGGCATAAACTTACACTGCGGTTTGCAAACTGATACTCGCCAGAAGAGCGTTCTGGCGTCACAGAACATTTTGTGTTTCGGTTTCTTCTTTCCTAGCTCTTTTACGGCTCCATAATAACTTGCAACACATGTATCACGGAGACTTTATTTACACAACGTTTTCAAAGCATCGCAAGTAAAATTACTTTGCAGAATTCCCGTGAAGATGTCCTTCATGCAGTAATGGCCAGCAACCGGTTTCAAGCTTGGACTTCCTCGGTTTCTTCTCTACGTTACGCCTGCAGGATTTCTTCACCAGCACAGAAAATTCATAGCCTTCAGTCCTGTGTATGTGGGGTTTGTGCGGTGTGCTTTCACTTGGCCTCCATCCACTGCGTAACGCCACCTCCTCTCGCATGCTGCACGACCACCCCATGACCACCCCATGGGACTCATGGCTGCGGGATATGGTGGGAGGCAAACACCCAAAGAGGTCCCACAAAGGCTCCAGGCAAAGTTCTGGAGAAGCTTCTCATTGTTAAATACAACAGTCTAGCCAGAGCTCCATCTCTGGCAGAAGCCAAGAGGGTCCACAGGGGGAAAAATCACCCCACCGAGGTCTGGTTTTTCTGCTGGACCCCTGAAGTCAGGCTTTTAGTCGCTGTCAAAGTCAGGAGAACAAACTAGGTGGACTTTTGATCTGACCCAGCATAGCACTTGGTTTAAATTTACACTGGCTGAACGTCAAGCCTGGTTTCTAGCACTGCGTGTTGTGCAATCCTCACTCTCATTCCTCGTGCTGTGTCCACCATCCCACAGGGGTTAGTGAGTTTGCATCCCAGGGAAAAAGGAGAGTGCTTTCTGACTGCAGTCACGTTTGTCCCACCAGGCCTTGCCCAAGCCTGCTCCAGAGCTCTTGCCCAGAGAACTGCTTACACATATTTCCAAGCAAGTGCTTCAGTTCAGCTGACCTTAACAGAAAGCTGGAGGGAGGTTTTTACCAGCAATCTGTCCATGCAGTGTGATGGCTCTCCCCTCATTTTTCTTCATTTGTCTTCTGTTTTGTTGTTGTTGTTTTTCTTTTATCCACAGTCAGATGGGCCCTGGGTTTTAACACAACCTCTCTTATGTTCTCCCATCCTGCAGAGAAAATACCAGGTGGTTCAGTCCTGATGTAAAGCAGAAGGGCTGCTAGCACAGGCTCACAAGTCAGAAGGAGTTTTTTTGCTGCCACAGGCTGGCCTAGAAAGAGTCAGTGGGCTCAAGAAAAGTTCCCCTGCAAGGATGGTGTGTCCTGTTCTTCAAATTCCCTTGTCAGGCCCTGAAGTCAAAGGCAGCCTCTGGGAGCACTTGGGGCTGTTGGGATTTCTCTTCACCCACTGCCCGGGCAATTCTGCTGCAGAGCTGTGCTGTCATGTTTGGTGGCAAGTTTGTATTTTTAGCCTCTTGAGATCCCTTGCTTTATGCAGCAGTCCCAGATTTCCCAGATCTGGAGCTTGACACGTTCTCACCCAGACACGATAATACTTACCCACCAGTTACTGACTTTGCACTTTCCTCCCCATCAATCTAGAAAGGAGGAGTACAATAATACAAGAAGGATGTGCAGTGAGTTAAGGAAGATGTATAAGGAGGTAAAAGTGATGCAAGTGCCTGCTGGATGAGAAGGGACTTGAGGAAGCCTGGGGAGACACCCCTCAGATGCTCAGTGAAGATCCCAGTTGCAGGAGGAAGCCCAGGATGGTGAATACAAGTTAATGCAACCTGGAGCTTGTGGGCTTTCCAGGGCTCCAAGAGATCTGTAGAAATGCTTAGGAAGGAGGTGGGCACCATGTAAAAGGGGCTGGGAAAGCACACTGCTGTGGTCCCAACACTTGTGCATCACCCGGCATGCAGCCCCGGCCACCAGTCCCATAAGAGGATGGCTGGGGGCTAGTTTTTGTCTGACAAGACCCCCAAAAAATGCTGGGATACATTGCCTCAGAAGGAAGAAGAGCAAGAGAGGCTTGATACGAGCATGCTGATGGTATCAAGGGGGGCAGCTGGCAACACCTGCCCTTTCCCTCGTGGCCACAAAAGCATCGGAGGAGAAGAAGTTCAAGGGTGGGGAATTCCAGTGGAATAACATACATTTTAGCACCAGCCGTGAACTTAGCAATACTCAGAAGGGGCCTGGATAGCTAGAAGGCACGGGGCCATTGCAAATAGCACTAAGTTATGCAATTTTTGTTCCCATTCTTATTGCTGGCTTCTGAGAGCCGGCCTGGGGATTTCAGTGAGTTTTCCTCTGAGGAGAAGGGGGGGGGGGGGGTGCTGTCTGCCTTAAGTTAGCTCTGTACCATCAAGCCAACTTCTGTAATTTTTCATGCAGTCAGCAAGGCTCAGGATCGCTGTAAATAATGACCATATGTGTCAGAAGGGTATGAGCTATCCTGCTCCGGGGCCTGTCTTTGGCTGCCCGTTGATTAAGCTGCTTCAGCTGGATCGGACACCCGTGATGGAGGGTGAAGGGAGGAGATGTGCTTGCCCCCTTTCGGCCCTGACACCTTCCTTAGGATCCAGGATTTCTATGGACTGACCATTGAGCTGGCCTAGGAGGGTCAGCAGCCACGGGGGCTGCTCAGGGTTGTCACCTCCCACTTCTCTGGGGACCCCAGAGAGGCTGAAAGCTTGGCTTTGTAAATCAGGTGCTATTTTCCTGTGGCTTTCTCTGAGCCGTAGTTGCAGCACGTCCAGTCATCAGCAGCTCCAGGCTGTCACACAGGCAGAGGGGAAACTGCTCATCACACACATCAAATGTTAGCTTTATTTGTGTTTTCAGTTTTTTATGCCATTTTTTTAAAGTGCAAACAGATGTCAAGGGATTTTTATCTTCGTTACCTTCGTATGGTTTTTATCCCCGTTAAACTTGTAAGGAAAAACATGCGTGCAACCGAGTTTTTGTTCCAGCAACTACAAGAAGCCCCACGAGACAGAACAGCCCAAAGCTGGGTAGCCTGGATGCACAAAAAGCCAAAATACTCCAGGACTGGACCAGACTGGGAGTCTTAACAGCTCAGGCTGATCCAAGCTACGGAAAACTGCCTCCTTTCATCATACGCTCGTACTCCTTCATTCACAGCTCGGACCACCTTGGTGTGAAATTCCCCCCTCTCTCCCGGAGACCCGCCTGCCTTTGGTGGATGTTGTGTCTGCCCAAATCACGGCCTCCTCGGGGCAGCCTTTTTCGGCTGGAAAGGGCTCTTAGCCACGTGCTGCGGACACATGGAGCAGGGTGACAGGAGCTGATGGGCAGCAGAGAGGCCGCGGTGAGTCTGGCTGGCCAGGCAATACATCTGGTAGATGGCCCAGAGGTGGGCAGGGGACTTGAGGAGAGCTGCAGGGTGCTGTAGGGGAGGGCATTATATGTGAAGGAGTTCCAGCGTTGCAATGCAGTTGCTGAAAGCAAGGCTTCAACAGCTCCGCTGCTCCCAACAGACTTCACTTCGCTTACCCGAGCTCCCGTCTCAGCGCAGCGGCTGCAGCTGTACGGGAGACCATGCTGGCGTTCCTCTTCCAAAAACAACACCCTCGGGTCCACTTTGAAATTGGAATTGAGCAAACCCTCCCTTAAGCTGTTTCACATTGCATGGAGCTGGAAATCCAGCTGGGGTGCCGTGCCAGCAAGCAGCAACTGCAGCAGCATCCAAAGGTGAGGCCTTATCTCCCTACCTCCATGCTGCCAGCTTGCACAACACCCCAAAATGCACCGTGCCGGGACACACGAGGGGTCACTCTGCCCAGGGGGCAGGCACTGCTCATGCAGCACACGCAGGCTTTGCCTGCCACGGACAAAGGGGACAGGGCCGATTCTGCCACGAAGCGCTAGGAGACAAAAGGGCGATGGGGTCGGAGGGGAAAGCGAAAGAAAACTCTTTTTTCAAGATCACAGAACAGGTCAGCAGCATCGGGCAGCACAATGCTGAGCTAAATACCCGAGTGCAGGTGCTTCCCAGTTGGACTCCTCCTCTGCCTAATCTGGTCCCCTTGAGCAGGTTTTGATGGAGCAGTATTCAGGGAGATGTTCACTGCTTTCCCTCGGGCTCACGGGGTCACCAAGCATGTTGCAGCTGCGTATGGCTGGGGGTGAAAAAGAGCAACCGACAGTGCAGAAAGGGGCAATCCAATCCATCAAACTCATAAAACCCTTTTTTTTTTTTTGTGGGGGCCCAATTTCTAGGAATAAAAGAAATATTTGTGCAATCACACAAACTACTAAACATTCTAGCATCGTTACGCCGTTCACTCCCTTCTGTACCAGACGGGAAGGCCGTCGGACCATTTTCCAATCTGTTTTTTTTGATAAGACTCTTTAAGACCCCTGTAAATCTTGTCAGAAAAAGGTATTTGGCATTTAAAAATTGCTAAGGTGAGAAAGCAGGAATGTGGGGTGGTGCTTTACGGAAAGAGCTACCCTTGCTTCCTGGAGAGTTCAATCCATGTGCTGCCAAGGCGATTCCAGAGGAGGTTGGGGCACCCTGTTGCAGAAAGCAAATGTCAATTAAAATAATAATAATAATAATTAAAAAGGAGAAAAAAAAAAAAAAGGAAGAAGAAAAGAAAAAAAAAAAAAAGGAAAACCCACTTTTCTTTTCTTTTTTTCTTCCACGAAATTACTGAGTGACATACCATGAAGGGGTGCATAGATTTTGCTCCGGTTATTTGCACTGGGTAAACTTCACCCTGGCAGAATGCTGTTTCACATCAGGATCGCTGCTTCATCAACACTGATGTAAATCACAGCCAAGCCAGCAGGAAAGGTGAGACAACTAAGATGGCAGGAAGCCATTGATTTAAGCCATTTTCTCAGAAAGCGTGGGATATTTTTTCCCCGACAGCTCAGAAGTTGTTTTTCTTTTTTTTTCTTTTCTTTTCTTTTTTTTTTTCCAAAATATAATTAACTTAATCAGATCTTTTTCTTTTTTCTATTATTTTTTTTAAAGGAAGGAGCGCAGAGATAGTGTGCAGCCCCTCCCAAGCGCCTTTCTGTCTGGGAGGAACCCGAGACCCAAACATCGAGTGTTCCCGTCTGGCACACCGAATGACACACAGCTATCGGCTGTGGTACGAGTGAAATGCTTTTGGTGAATCACTTGGACGGTGCCCGAGGCTGCTAATAGTTCGGCCACATCCTATTGTTACATTAGCAGCCCTGGAAACGAAACAGCCTGAAACCTCTCCAGGATAGAAAAATGTAATAAACTAACTCGGTGCAGATCTCCTAAAAGCAACCAAACACACCCTAAGTCTCCTCTTTAAGATCAGCTGCATTTTTTCTATACGCAAGTAGTCGTAATTAGATTTTTAAGGGTTCGGAGTGTGCATTCCAAGTAGAGAACTGCCGAAGAAAGGAAAACTCATTGGGATTTCTCTGGCCACGCTTTATACCCCACTTGTTTAGCTGCCTAGGTTCTTCTGTGAGCGCTCACACCCCATCAGATAGCAACGCTTTCGTCATTGCACTGCGGGGCTCCCCCCACTTTCCAGATGCGGAGATTCCTGGAGAGGAAAGGCTTCCTTTTGCTCATGCAGCCGGTTGTGGGCAGGCTGGGCTGTGGTCCTGGCCCTCCTGCCCAGCAGGGGTTCTCAGAAATGTCTTCTCCCAAAGGAGCAAGTGCCCACTCGAGACCAGCTGCCTCGAACGCGGTTGTTTGAAATCCAGAGCAAGTGTTTGTCACGAGGGCGATGGGCTAACCGTGAGAGAGAAGTCAGCCTCTGCTTTAGGGCTGGCTGCCTAAATTACCCAAACTGAAGTTAAAAATGTGCTCTTTTGGGGAAAGTAGAGACAGTGGGTGTGACGAATTTCTGGATTTTAAGGCTAATGAGGGCTACGCCATTCACAGCAGAGGCCGGAGACTGCAGGACCTGGTGCTGCGTTGGCAGGTTCAATGAGTTAAAGTAGGGGAGAGGCATGGCTGGTGTCTGCTGGAGGCTGCCATGCAATGCCTCAACTTGCACCTGCACAGGGAAATACAGCCCTGCTGATGAAAATGCTAAGCTGACACAGCAAGGAGGCTGCAGGTTCAGCTCGTGAGGCCGGTGGAAGATGACCTGCAGCTGGACGGACGTCTGCAGAGGGCCAGGGGATGAGGTGAAACTCAGCAGGACCTGGGCGTCTCTTCACACAGGGCAACCTCCGCAGCTGGCCCCTGCCCTCCCAAACAGCGCACATCAGCAGCCACCGGGTGTATTTTTGATTCAAATATTTTGTTGTTGCTGCTTTATTAAAACGCTGACAGTAAATACATTTATTAGGAAGACAGAGCAAGTGGGAAACACAAGCTGGGACGGAGAGATTTGACCGGCTATAAATAGCAGCCTGAATAAACAGACAACTGCGAATTATGGGCTGCAGCTCCGGGCTTCGCATGGAGGCAGCACCTGTTACCAGGAGACTTTTTACCAGTTTATTTGTTTGCTTTTAAAAGAAAAAAACTGTTTACAGTGATAAACTCCAGGCTGACAGATTTTCCGCTTTCTGGGAAAACATTACGGCTTAATGATCACCTGCAGGTGTTTTTCCTACCTGCTGTGCAGTGTTTGCACTGCTCCTCCTGCCAGAGGCGAGGCAGCGCTTTGGGCAGGGGTAGGCACCAAGAGCATCCCCTCACCCTCAAGCCCTGGCCAAAGCAAGGTGCTGACAACCCCTGCAGCTGCTGCAGGATGGGTCACGGTGAGCTTGGGGGGTACTTCTCAGGAATTAAGGTTTTGGGAAATGATGTGAGCACCACCACCCTGAGGTGAGCCGTGCCCACAGGCTGGGACAGTCCCTGCCGGTGAGGTGTCGGGGCACCCCGCGAATTTTTCCTGCCTCTATGCAAAAAAGGCAGGATTTCAGTACCCTAAAGACTTACTGGCCTGGCTTCTGCTCTGCCACACATCACCGGCTGCTGAATTTCAGCCATCGCTGCCGCTTGGAGCTCAGCACTTTGAGATTATCTCCCAGAAAAGCAGGCGGTCTGGACACAAAGGCATCAGCAGACGGGGAGCCCCAGGCTCCCCCCGCTCTGTTTTGATGTGTGCCAGCAAGCCACATAAAATGTGCTTCATTGCTTATTTACATTCACCTAGCTTTAAATTGCAGCCCCTGCTGCTTGCTACGCCTCTCTCTGCTAGATTAAAGAGCCCTAAAATGTCACCCTCGCGGTGTTATCAACTGCCCTCTGCTATTACTGCCTCGCAGTAAATAAAAGGGATTTTCCAGTCATTATTTTATACCCCGTAATCACGGGACTCTTCCAGATCAATTAGTTTTCACTCCTCTTATCTACATTCGAGCCTCACCTCCCTCTCAGTGTTTCCATTGCCTGCTCGGGGACCTTCCCTACGTCTCCCATGACCCCTGGGCAAGGAGCCGAGTGAACCCAAGAGGGGGGCTCAGTGAGAGGACATCTGATCCCCTGATGGACCCCCCAGCCCAGTGCTGAGCCTGGACACTGTTTTTGTGTGTGTGCCTGAGCTTCTCACTGCGCATCCCGGGAAGACAACTCGATGACTTGCCTGCAAAGCTGCACCCCTTTTGGCACCCTCGGCTCGTGCGAGACGTGTCAGTTTGCGTGACTTGCTACTTATCTATATGGACTTTCATCTCCCAGCTCGTGCCAGACTGCCTTTCAGTAGGATACTGTAACTAAAAATCATTTCATGTCATGCACGTCCCCTTTCTTTATTGAAGTACGTAAAAACATCAGGGCAGAATGTGCTCTAACCAACCTTTCCAGGGGAAAAAATGCAAACGCTAACTTGAGTGGGGGTGCTCACTGGATTTTCTCCCACTCTCCTCTCAATCAGTGTTGTGTTGTTGTTTTTTTTTAATTTTGGCAAGAACCCATCCAAATCCACAATCGCTACATGGAAAGCAGGAATATATCTCCAGGAGGTCAGAACAACTTCATATTCCAGTCTGAGAAAGAAATAAAATCTAAGCTATCAGGAATACGTACTTAAAAGTACATCAGAAGCCATTGAAGGCCAGTTTGGGCTACATGTCGCCGAAATATCTTTTAAGGGCTGGTAGGAAACTGTGTTTAGCTTTCAAGTATAGCTTTTGAACCTGCCGGTATGGTTTTACAAATTAGAGGCGGCAGCACTCTTCCCCAAAATATCCTCACCACACCATATTAGAAATGGAGCTTTACTACTCCGCTTTGTTTCCTAGCTACCGGCATTTTTTTTAGCTTAGTAGTAGAGACGCGCAGCGAAATCTGGCATTCAGACTGTGACTTCATCAAACCCTTTCAGAAACCTCATGCTATCTATATATATGCCTGCCTATCTGCAGCAGTTGCAGTTTCTCTCATAGCCTCTCTGTTCAGAAAGGCTTCAGCTATTAGGCTTTATGGTGGATGCCCACCCACCCCTGCCCCACACCCCCAGCCCACCCCAGCCCCCCGCACCCCTTCCCCACAGCCCCATCTGCTATGGGAGCCCTCTCTCCCCTCTCCTCTCCCCCTTCCCGGCCCTACCAGTCCCTTTACATTCATCACATTAAAGAAAACATTTCATGGTCATCTCTTTTATCTCCTTCAGTGAACAGTTAATCAGAAAAAATGCTTTCATGTTGCTAAATCAGGGCCAGTGGGCAAAGCCAGGCTGACAAGAGACATTTTCCTCTGCCACTAACCTGGGCTAAATAGTATTAATTACAGAGGCTGGGCTTTGATTGCTGGAGTGTGGTGGGGCTGGTGAGAGCTCTCTCCTCCCCCTCCACCACCAGCCCTCACTGCCTCCCTTACCTGCCTGCCCTGCTTTCTTTGCCATCCCCATCCTGGCCTTCCTAGGAGAGCAACGCGAGGGACATCACCCGTTCCTAGCCCATGGTCTGAAGGCCATATGAGGTCTGTAAGATGCCAACAGGGCTGCAGGATGATGGCAGATGACTTTTGGGGAAGAAAGAAGAGTCAAGAAACACCAGCCCCATCTGGATGAACATCCCCAGGTCCACACATCTCCACTGGGGCTGTGAAGAAAGTGCTGGGAGCTGGAGGGGGCTTCCTTCAAGCCTGGTGCCATGCCAGCAGTAGCATCCCCCCAGGGTGGCGATGCTGCTGAGCTGTTTTTCTGCAGGAGAGGCCGAATCCCCAGGAGCATGAATCACCCTGATCCCTGCATCGTAGGGCAGGGACATGGCTGCTCTTTGGCCGCTGAACCCCACAGCCTGCCTTCCCTGCCCTTCCCTGAGCTGAGCTTTACGAAAGAGACCACAGGAGGAATTTGTGCAGCGGTCAGAGGCCTTCCCTTGGGATGGGTGGCACAGCCGGGGGCCTGAGGCTAGCTGTGGTTTAAGTGAATTTAGGCGGCTGCCCCTGGTGACCCGTGGTGGTGAGCTCTGCAGCCACGCAGCCGGGGGGCATCGCCGTGTGAGCACAGCAGTGCCGGCACCCCAAAATTTGGCCACAGCAGCCAGGCCTACGCTTTGAAATGGGCCTTGCCTGGCTTGGAGGGCTTGCTGCTGCATATAAGGCCTGTTCATCCAGCCAGCACCCCGGTGTGGGAATAGCTTGAGTAAGGAATCAAGCAGGCAGTTGTCCCCATATTGTTGTTTTTGAAATTAAAAAGTATTTCAAGCCAACGGTGTTGTATATATACAGGAGAGTGCAGCTGTTGCATGGGCCACCCCATAAGAGCACAAACTGGCATTTAGAGGGTTGGGAGGCAGCAAGTGTCAAGCCAGGCAGTAAAGAGGTTAGGGGGTGAGCAGATCCTCTGGCCAGAAGTTTGAGCCAACACCCAGTAGTGAAGAAAGCTGAGGCCCGAGCTGCCACTGCTGAGTTCGGAGTTAGCAGCCTATTGATAGAAGGCAGTTCAGAGCCTGCTGTTGCAGCATACTTCAGACCACAAACAATGTGGTTGCATCTTTTTGTATTAGCTCCAAATATTTAGGGCTCTCCTCGTTGCCAGAAAGATGCATTATATTTTTTTTCTTTTGTCTTTTTTTTTTTTTTTTTTTACAGTGAAAATATAGAAGATAAGAGTGGCCGGCCTGGATCGAATTAAGTCTCCATCTAGCCCAGTATTTTGTGGAGGCTGCTTTTAGTTGCTGCTGAGAGAAAGGCAAAAAGCTCTGCAGCAGTGGGATAATGTGCTTGCCAAAAGAGTTCCTCCCTTAGAAGTTGTCTCTCTCGCTTAGAAGTTGTCTTCTGCCTTGAGGCAGGATGGTTTATGTCCAAAGCTACTTCATTTGACTTTGTTCTTCCTTTGTTTTCAGTTCTGCAGGCTGTCACTGTGAATAATGGGCCTTTGGTTCTGGAGTACAATTCCCTGACAAATATTGGCTACCACGGTAAATTCCAGGGCTGTCGAGTTGCAGAATAAATCTTATCTCCATTGAGTGGGTGGCTGGTGTCGCTGGGGAAGGTAGGGGATGCCGGTGCGGCACCTCGCCGTCAGCCCACCGAAGGCCGTAATTCCTCCTTGAAGCTGTGCATGTGGAGGGCTAGGCCATCCTCCAGCCCGAGCGATGAGCCAGGCCCCAGGCCCTCACGAGCTCCACTTTCGGGAGCCTGCTGCCACATGGTGGCATCCACTCTCTCCTCCTGGCCCCAGGAATCCTTCCTTGGCTTGCAGGAGGTAGCACGTGTGGGAAGAGCACATCTGAGCTCTGCCTTGTAACTACCCTCCGAGTTCCCAGGACCTCTTCTGGAGCTGCTAGGAGCTTTTCCAAGACCACTATTTCCTTTTTGGAGCTACACAAAAGCACCTCGGATGCTGGCAAAAATTCTGAGAGGATCTCAGGTGTTTTGCTGGTCAACGGGTAGGCCTTGTAAATGAAAGAACTTTATCAAATCTGACAGCACTGAAAACATTTTCACGAAGCACACCAAGGTCTGCATCCGCCTGTTTGTGCTTCTGCCTTGCAGCAGTTGCAGTCTCAAGGGCAGGACAAGGTGGGAAAGGAAGCTATCGAGATGATTCCTCTTCCCTCAGAGACTGAGGAGCAGAAAGACGGTTGTCTTGAGAGCTGGTGGCATGAGCAGCATCTCCAAACTGGACCTGCGTTGGACACTGGGGACATATGGTCCCCATGGGAAGTGCCCTGGGGCCAGCTTGCCTTTGGAGAGCAGGAGGCACCATGCTGTTCCCACCTCAGTGAGCAGGCTTGCATGGCTGGGAAACACAAAGAGCCATCCAGCCAAAGGGAGAGGAAGGCAGAGCAAGGGATTTGCCCAGCGGGTGACCTAAGTAGGGCTACAGGAACCCGGGCCAAACCAACAGTGCCCAGAGCCTGCAGACAAAAGGCCTGGTGTCTGGAGTTGAAGGCTTTCCTGAGAAGGACAGGGAGGTGTGACCCCGGGGAGGGAGAGGGGTTGTCCAAACCAAAACGGGGAGGGGAAAACAGAATAAGGGTGCTCTGGGCAACATATATTAGGAAACTCAGCGCCGTGGTGCAATCTCTAAGTTGGCAGGACACTGCTGCCCGTAGGCACTTCGTACTC